CAGCTAGTGATTGGCTTGCTAGCCGTATAAGAGGCTTGAGCGGTTTCCGCCCAAGTTGGAGGACTCCACAACCATCTGGAGGAGAAGGACTTCACGTCTCGTGAAGAACTCTAAGCGCTGCGGAGCCTAACGGACCCAGCGTGTACCTTAAGAAGGCTATAGGGGTCGGATCAACCTCTGGCCTCTCCCCGTCGCTGAGCGCGATCCCTCGACGAACCCCTTCCCTGCGCGCAAGTTCCACGGAGCCTAGCAAACTTCATGTGAGTGTATCCAGAGCTCTTCTCCGAGTTGTTTTCTTCGGTTGACACGATGGGCTCGCGGTTTTAGAGCCTTCAGCCGGATTGGGCTAGAGTTCGCGAGATTAGAACTCTTGTCCGCTCTTCTTTCCTATCTGTAACTGCAACTCAAGCAAGTTTTCCTGCCTGCACCGCAACCATCTACGGTGTAAGTAAAACAATCTTTAATCAACCGCTACGCGTCCATGCCTAATTCTAGTCCGCCGGCCTGCATTCCCCGACCCGTGTACCAGGGCTGCTGGCCACAGCCCGCCGCGCGCCCCCGAGGGCCTCGGACCGCTCCCGGCCCGCACAATAACTAGCCCTTCCCTATGAGAAGTTTATTTGGATGAAAACTATATTTTCCAGTGAAGCTTCCCTAGCATCTCAGGTGTCACTTGCTGCCTTTCTAACTCTAGTATCACCATGTAAAGAGGCCTCAACTCTTTCTTTTTGGCAGGAGCAACCGGGCTCGTTGGATCACTGCGCTGATGCACAGGGAGAATGCACAGAATGACACTTCCAGCAAAGGAGGTAAAGAAACCAAACCCCCTCTCTGCGACACTGCGTTTTACTGTCTTAAATCCTGCCTGTAACTAGTGCCTGATGCCTGTTCATTATCCTGTGCTTAAGGGCTGTAAAGCTGTCCCTCCTGAGGTCACAGGCTCTGGTTGAGATTTTTTGGGATCTGATAAGAGTGTCATGCAGGTGTATCCTATGAAGGAGTCATTCTTCTGTGAGGGAAGCCATAGGGCACAGCTGCTCACCAGCCCAGCATTTGCCTGAGTAGATCAGACTTTTCCTGAAGAGCCCAGATGACTCTGAAAGTGTCTCCTAGAAGGTACAAATTGTCTTGTAATGTCATAAAGCAGAAGATAAGGCAGGGTGGCACCATATAGACTAACTTGTTTGGAGAGAGTGAGCTACAGCCTAAGCATCTCATGAAGTAGTTTGTAGCCTATGAAAATTCATGCCTGTCTGAACTAATTAGTCTCTAAGGCAGCGATTCTCAACCAGGGCGACTTGTGATCCTTTGAAGGGTGCCACGGGGTACCACAAGATGTGCAAACGGGAGTCACAAGATGAACTCGAGTGCTTTCACGTAGCTGTTTGTAGCGTTACAAACATTCTGACCTCTTCTTTGCAACAGAAGACTTTCTCTGGTGTTTTTTCTGTAGTCAAAAAACAAATGAAAGCTCAGAGCTGGCATTTTCATGGGGCACCTCAGGTCTATTGAGGAGTGCCACAAGTCTAAGCAGGTTGAGAAGCACTGCTCTAAGGTGCCACCATGCCCCACCTTCTACCTAACTTCAACTAACTAGGCTAACTACCTCGCTGACTCTCTCTCGACTCATTATAAAGCAATGAGGATGCTCAGTAAGGGAAGGGGACCTGCTGTATTTTAAGGACTGCTCCCTTTTTTCCAAATACCTCATTACCAAATACAAAAGCAGGACCCTTACCCAGCTGCCACTAGGAAGGCCTGAGAGCAGGAGAGGGAGAGACATATGCTCCCTCTACTGGCCTTGGCGCCTCAGCTGCTAACTCGTATAATTCCTTGTCTCCCAAATCCATTCAGGTTGGGAATAAACCAGGAAGTAAACACCAGTGCTGTTGTGCTGCCAAGCCCTGCAAAGATGGGGGGTGGGAATGGGGATGCTTGCTAAGTGAAAATGTGAAAGCTGATAAAATGGAGCGTTAAGCTGCTTCTGCCGCTTTTATTTTAACCTGAATAGCTGGAAACATTCATAATGCTTTGCTAATCATCCTCAGCATCCGAATTACTACAGCAGTGTTATCGACCTAGCACTGCCAGCACCAAGTACAGGGAAGTTGATAGTCAGTGGCTCCTCTCCTCCCCACCCAAATAGCGCTGAGAATGACTTAAAAATCCTAGGATTTAAAATTGATACATTTTGGGTTCCTTCCTTCCCTCCATGGCCTCTGTGTCTCTGAGTTTGTTGGGGTAAATCAGGTTGCTAGAATCTGTTTTTAAATGAAAGCTGTAACCCTCCTGGAATCACTTGATTCCAGAAGCTGAAGCATTCAGATAAGCACAAAATGTGACCACACTCATGGTAAAATGGCCAGAGACAGCCATGCTGTGAATCACCTTCAGAAAGACCCCAGCCCCCAAACCACCTTAGTAGCAAACTCCCCACAAAATCAAATGGAAGTGCGGGCAGCGCTGGCTGGGGCAAGCCAAGCCCCCGGGACTGCAGGGGGGTTTGTTTTGTGCCCACTCGGTTGTTTTGTTCTGGGGTTCTGGCCATAGCACGCAAAAGCCCAAACCCTGCAAGCTTGCATGGCTTTTGTTTGAAACCAGCACGTCCCACAGGACTCCCTCTGGAGTCTGTAGTGCCGCCCACACCCACAGAGAGGCACATGGAGTTTCTTAAGCAATGTGCACAGGGAACACCACTCAGACATTAATACAGAGGGAGCAGGATAGGAGGGATTTCTGTAGCAATGTGGGTGTAAGCAGGTTCAGGAGAAGAGCAGAGGCTGTCCCATGAGTAGGGGCAACAGCATGAGAGAAATAGGGGATTGGAGGGTCCACAGACTGGGAGGGACAGGGGGACCAGAGGGGTGCAGGTGGGGTGAGCAGTGTCTTGATGCTGGTCACTGGGAGCTGGACTCAAGTGGCTTCTTGTTACCAAACCTGACTGGGCTCTAGAGAAGTCCACCTACACGATCCCCACTGCAGCAGGGCTTGTCCTCCCAGGCTGAGCCTTCTCTCAGGTTAGGGGTAACTTCTAATCACAAGGCCTGGCTGTGGTTTCCAGTGGGCTGTTGCATTTTCCAACATTTTATCACTTCTATTCCATAGTTCCTTTTTAGCCAGCAATTGTGGTGTGTGTCTCTCTTCTCCCTCAGATCTGAGCCAGGTGGAGATAATCAGGGCACACTTGGCTAAACAGACGGATGAAATTTCGCTGCAGCAGGGAGATGTTGTCTTGGTCCTGGGTGGAGAAGATGGTAAGTCATGTGGGTGCCCAAAGAGTGGGAAGTGTGGGCTGGGAGCTAGAGCGGAGGCCTGGGAGCCAGAGCTTTGGAGTGGGGTCTGATCCAGGTAGGAGGCTTTCAGGGTTACAGACAAGGAAGCCCAGCACTAGAGCTAACACCCTACATGTCTTAGAGAAGCAAAACCACAGGATCGCTTATGGGCTCGGAGCTCCCTGTAGTGTCTGCCACCTGCATGTTAGCTACTGTCCATGCCCATTGGCAACTCTCCTGTGACACCCTCCAGTCCCAGAATGTGTCCAGTCCACAGTCCGGTAATCCAGCGATCTGGCTCCAACAGTGCCTAGCACAGCTGCTCAGAGGCAGGAGCAGGAAGCATAACCGTAACAATTTTGCTTCGCGATTGGGGCAGCTGGCTTAGGCCTCTCCATTTCAAGGTTCCTCGTAGAGGTGTAAGATGTTCTGAAGGTATAAAAAGCTTTGCCCAGGTGGCACCAGCAGCAGTTGAGCTGTGTTTACATTCCTTTTGGGTAAGTGCATGCTCCAGGTACAAATGCAATCAGAGTGCAGAATGCTTGCCTGATGTGGGAGATTTCCTGGCTGGCTCATGCTCTGTGGACGAGGGTGGCAGCAGGTGCAGCATGTGCTCCCTGGCTGGGTGCAGTCCTTTCCCATCTCACAGAATACTCTGCTCCTTCCTTCAGGCTGGTACTTGGGTGAGAGGCTTCGAGACGGCGAGAGAGGCTGGTTCCCCCAGTCGTGTGCACAGCAGATCACCGATCGCAGTGCCGTGGAGCGCAACGTCCGCCGCCTGGAGCGGCTGCGCATAGAGACGGACGTATAGGTCGCCAGCCACAACAGGTGTTCCTGTGAGGATTTATAAGGCTCTGAGCCACGGCCCTATGAGCTGGCAGGGCCATAGACCATGCTGGAGGGAAGGCCAGGAGCACACGCCTGCCAGCTCCCCTGACTTCCCTTCAGGCTGCTGCTCTTCAGAGAAAACTGGTTCCCCTTCTTGCCATGCCAGTGCTGTGCAGTGACACAAGTTACATGTCCATGTCTTGGTTGTGACCTATCTGTGAGGGCTTTGGACTGGGACAGGGATGGTTTCATGTCATCCAACCTAGTCTGACCCCTCCATTACAGCTAGCCAAACCTGTAAGAATCGATTGGAGTTTGCTGCTAGAAATTGTGCTCCTTGCTTTGAAGCATTGAGCTTCCCAGAGAAATTTATACAGCCCACTCAGGCTGGAGCTTTTGTACTGTTTGCCCATCACTGTCACTGGTTCACTTTTATTCTCTGTGCCATTGTCTCCTGCCTTTAGCCCTGGGACTAATGCATGCTGGGGACACGCACAGCCAAGGTGAATTTGCAGCTGTCACATATAGGGCTTCCTTGCATTGGCGGGATGGTGGGGAATGTGTTTGCAGGTTGGTTTTTATAAATAAATATGCATAAAGCAGATATGTGTTTTTGGCTTTGTTAATGATTCAAGCTCTCTCTCTCCTCCGGTGGGTGAGTAGCAGGTGCTCTCTACAGAGAAGCTGCAGTACAAAACCAACCAGGTTTGCAGCATTTCCCAAACACAAGCATTTCCCTGAGTGCTGCTTCTAGGTTTTAGCCAAACCAGGCGAGCTCTTGGTAATCATGAGGTTTGCACCGAGTCTGTCCCAACTTCTAGCCTCTGGGTTCCCTGAATCTGGGAGAAGGTGCAAGAACGCTGACTCCTGCCTTTCCTCTGAGTGGCTTGTGCTGCAATTTCCTATTGCTGCTGCCATGTGGGTGTCCAGCCAAGCTGGGGGTGGTATGCAGCAAGGGCAAGACTAGGCCAGGGGATGGCTCCAAGGCTTTTCCAGTCATGGCTGTTGCTGGCTTTTCCAGTTATCCATGGTTGCATGGATGGATTTGGAGAGTGTTTGAAGGGTAGCTGGGCTGCCTCCTTGCCAGGGCATGCCTCTGGTTGGGATTCCCTCAGCGTTCTTAGAGCGTGCTGCTAACCTAGCCAACCAATGCTATGGGTCACTGCCTATGCAGGTATTGAGAGCTGGGGAAGGAGGGGGTCTTGACAAGCCCACTTGCTTCCTCTATGCGTAATTAGGCAGCATCTCTGGTGCCTGGGTCTGGCTCACTCTGCTGCAAGTGCCATTGAAGCCAGTCCTGTGGCTGATCTGGGTGGTGTGTGGCATGTCAGAGGTCAGTGACCAGAAGAGTTTGGAGTCACTGAAAGACTGAACTGCCCCATCGCCATTTGTTATCTCCCATTTGTGTTAGCTGTGCTAGGAGCCAGGATTCCCCCAAGCCCCGCTGCAGGCTAGGCAGGTAGACTCTGCACTGAATGCAGCTCGGGTTTTTGGCCAGAAGGGGGATTTCTTTTTCCATCGTGTTCCAGACAGGTGATTAAAGTCAGAGAGAGCAGGAGTGATGAGCTGTGCCCAGAGGGCTGACTATAAAGTCTCCATCAAGTGCAGTGAGGCAGCCAGCATAGGAAGATATATTATGACGGTGGGAGTCACCCAACAACGATGACGAGTGGTATAACAGGGCGGCCTCTGTACAGCCTCTTGACCTTTGTGAGCACAGAGGGAGTTCTTTGACATTTTCAAACATGAACGTCCACTGTCTAGTAACCAGAATTCTGTGTTTGTGTCCGGGAGTTATTTGTGAGCCCTGGGAAAGGCCCTTGCTCTCTGTGATAGTCTTACAATTTATGCCCTGCATCTTACACAAGGTTTCTTGCTCCCCCTTTTATTTTTCCTTTTTCCTGAATTGTTCCTTTTTGTCATTCAGCTGTTTGTTTAATGTTGGGTCCAGATGGAGGTGTGAAAATGGGCAACTGGAGGTAATTCTTCTACAGAGTAGCTAACAATATGTGAACCCTGTGTGCCAGGCAGCTGGAGGATGGGTTGCTTTGTCTTTGCTAAAAGAGTCTCTCTCTCTCATAGCAGAGCCCATAAAGGTTTTTCTGAACTCTGCAGTAAGTGAATAAAAATCTCCGTCACTGCACAGGATAGATGTTTACAGGAAAGAGACTTTTGTAAAGACTCTTTGTGTCTTTATTAAGGCAAGAATGGGGATTATATGTCTAATGTTCAATTTTTCCCACCAAAGAATAAGTTGGTTTACAGTTGCCTTCCTTCATGTGAGACTGAAAGTATAGACCAATGTGATTCCCTTTTTGTGTGGCTTCAATGCTCTGGATGGCTGATCTGCAGCGACAAGGCAGGGTATTTCAGCACACTATGTTGAGGTTCTAGGTTGAAATGAAGTTGAGGCCACAATCATCCCTCTGTAGCCAGCAATGGATGGAAGATCTGGCTTAGTTTTCCAGCCTGGTTACTTTTATTCTTAAAAAAAAGACTAATTAGGAGAAAGAATGGGGCTGGGGCAGGGCTGCCTTATCAAAGATTTCCCAAGAGCAAGATTGGGTTTGTGGGTTTGCTGGGAAGGAAGCTGTGAATACCCTCCTTCCCTTCCACCCAAGGAAAAGCTTTGAGAGCTGGAATCTTTCAAAACAAATGCCTCGTGCAACAGGTTCATATAATGGTATGTGCCGAGTTATAAAGGGAGCAGTGAGCATCCTGCTCAACACGGTTCATACTGTGCGAGTCAGCTGCCTCTCTCCTCTGTCCTCTTGAGCAAGTGGGTTGTGTGCAGCTGTCAAAGCTTCACGATGGAAAGAATCCTGGGATCCCAGCTCTGCATCACCCCTGCTTGTGGGATGGGGTCAGGGTTCAGGATCCGCGACTCCCAATCCTGTGTTCTCCCCAAATGTTATTTTTCTTAATTTCAGTTGGATGTGTGGTGGGAAGCACTCCGACCTTCATGCTGAGCTGGGAGCAGCTTGCTGGCTTGAGGGCTGCTACAGCCAACATAAAGTGTCATGTCCTAACTGGCTTGGGAGTCTGTACTGAGAGATACTGTTATGTCCTGCTGCTCAGGTTGGCTGACTGGGTGGAAATGAGCCTGTGCATGTGGAGCAGAGAGGCAAACTGCATCTGGGCTGCTTGCTTTGTTATTAAATGAAGTGGGCAGCTCTGACCAGTGGTTCCAGCACAGTAGGCCTGTAGTTATCACTGACCTGCCATTCTGTGTGTGGTATGATGTAATGTATGTATTGAATAGTTCAGCCAAAAACACCGTTATGAGCAGCGAGGCAATTTTGCTGGTTCTTTGTCATTGAATCAATGCAGCAGGAAGCCTGACTCACGTGATACAAGGATGCACCTAGAGAGTTGTATGAGACTTTGCCAACTCAAGGGACTATGGTGCAGGGCTAAGGGGACACCTGAGATTAGCAGTCTGCACAGGGACTGAGACTCCACTGATTTGTGCTGCTGCTTCTGAGTTGTGAAATAAATGGTTCCCCCAGGAGGAACGCATATTGAAACTCTTTGAAGCTGCTTAAAAATGCACTGGTCGGTCACCCTCGCTGCTTGTCCCTGCTGTAAAAGATGCTTTGCAGGTTTGTTTCTTCAGTTGGTCTCAGCTGGCAGGAGGCTTGCTCTGGGGGATGCCAGGTAGAGGTGCCAGGACGGGGCTGGACTTCCAGTGTCAGGCTCACAAGGTAAGGGCCCTTGCATCTCGTAGAGAAAAAAGTGCTCAGTACAAATGGGGTTGGGGGGAGGGGGAAGCCGACTGGCAAACTGAAAGGCTAGCATTGGCTTTGGGGGTTACCATCTCTCCAGCTCTTGGTGAGGGACTGGTATTGCTTACTGCTGGGCAGGTTGGTGTGGGCAGCTGCCTGCCTGCTGGCACCTGTCTACCACCTGCCACATCTGGCAGCGGCACTTGCTTACCCCTGCAACCAGGCAGCTGAAGCAAAATCTGACTTGGTGCCGTTCAGGTGCTGAGCGATCTAGCCTCCAGCAGGTACATTAGCAGGGAGCACCTACGTTGCTCCTACCTAGGCAGGCTCTGTGAGTACTTTGCCCCCATGCCTGTTGCTACAGCTCTTTTCATGAAAGCCCAGGATTGCAGTGTGGGGGAAATACAAGGAAGATTGTCTTCCCCATGGAAGGCCTGCCAGGTTAATTGTCTTGCTGCCTCCTCACTGGAAATTGTGGTGTATCGTGATGGGAAAGGGTATTGCAAGGACATTTGTAAGGTGTGGCACGTAGCAGGGTGCACTACAAGCTGTACACATCATACGTCTCTGGAGCAGACCAACTCAAGAACACAGCTGACTCGCACTTATGCTCTCTGCCCCTTCATGGATACAAACCAGTGTCTGACTAACAGACACACTGGCGCAGGGCACGCTGGCAATTCAAGAGCAAGGAGGGAAGGAGACAGAGCTTCACTGTCTCACCTGTGACCCGTGCGCTGCGTGACCTGCGGTAAGTCACTCCAACGTCCTGAGCCTTTATGTATCCACCTGCAAGGTGGGGTTGTTACTAATGCATTGGCGGGTGAATTTATTCATGTTTGTGCAGTGCTCCGAGAGGAAATAATTGTCTATCGACAGAAGGGGGCTGCCGCGTTCAGCCGGTTACTCGCGGTCCTTCAGCTAATGGCACCACTAGGTGGCAGCCTAGGCTTTGGGAAGTGAACTTTGCTCCCGGTGGCTGAGAGCTAGAATAAGCCTCCAGCTGCTGCTCAGCTCTTCTAGCAACAACGCTTTAGTCTCATGTTGACTTCTTTCTTGTTTTTTAAATCCTCAGTTTTACAAGTTTTTGTTCAGGATCCTCATTAATGATCTGGAAGATGGCATGGAGTGCACCTTCAACAAGGTCACAGATGACACCAAGGGGCAGGGGGAGTAGTAGATACGTTGGAGGGTAGGGCTAGGATTCAGTGTGACCTTGACATATTGGAGGATTGGGCCAAGAGGTATCTCCTGGGGTTCAACAAGGACAAGTGCAAAGTCCTGCACTAAGGATGGGACAATCCCATGCACTAGTACAGGCTGGGGCTGAGTGGCTGGGCAGCAGCTTTGCAGAAAAGGACACGGGTTACAGTAGACAAAAAGCTGAATATGAGCCATCAGTGTGCCCTTGTTGCCAAGAAGGCTAACAGCATACTGGGCTGCATTAGTAGGAGTATTGCCAGAAGATCAAGAGAAGTAATTATTCCCCTCTATTGTGCACTGGTGAGGCCACATCTGGAGTACTGTGCCCAGTTTTGGGACACCCCTCCTCCCACCCACAGTACAGAAAAGATATGGACAAGTTAGAGAGTCCAGCAGAGGGCAGCAAAAATGGTTCGGGGGCTGGGACACAACTTCTGAGGAGAGGCTGAGGGAACTGGGCATATTTAGTCTGCAGCAGAGAAGACTGAGGGGGGATTTAATAGCAGCCTTCAACTACATGAAAGGGATCCAAAGAGGATGGAGCTGGACTGTTTTCAATGGTAACAGATGACAGAACAAGGAGCAATCGTCTTAAGTTGCAGCAAGAGAAGTTTAGGTTGGATATTAGGAAATACGTTCTCACTAGGAGGGTGAAGCACTGGAAGGGGTTACCTAGAGAAGTGGTGGAATCTCCATCCTTGCAGGTTTAAGGCCCAGCTCAACAAAGCCTTGGCTGGATTGATCCAGTTGGGGATGGTCCTGCATTGAGCAGTGGGTTGGACTAGATGTGACCTCCTGAGGTCCCTTCCAGTTCTAAGTTTCTATGACTCTATGTAGTAAATGTGTAGCCCTTTGTGTTCTTTCAGCCAGAAATGGCAGACAGCATTCCAGCCCCAGGGAGCAGCCAGCAAGATACATTGGTGGATTTAAAGAGGAAGGGGATCATAGTAAATGGCACTTGAGAGAAGAGCTCCCCAGGTTTTCTAGCCACTGGTGGGTGGGCTTGTATTTTAATGGACAGCAGGCTGCTGCCAGGGCATGTGGCTAGTAAGTACCTGGGTGGTTCTTCTAGTAGTGCAGAAGGCATCTCGGTCTTTCTGACCTCTAGCCCAAGATGGACCATGGTATCTCTTGGAGAACTCCAGTGCCAGGATAGCACTCTGCAGACCTCAGCACCCACCATGCTCTGCATTGCAACAGGAACTAGAATTGTCCCCTTGCCATGGGGCCTGTCTCCCCAGGGAAGTGATGCGGGGTGAGTTTACAGCATGGCTGTTCCCTGCATGAAAGCAGGATGAAGAGGCAATACATGGATGCAGTCATGCTGTTCAGGAATATGCCTTGATTTGTTTCTGCCTGAAATTCCCACAGGAGAGTGCATTCGGGACATAGGCTGATTGAACCCACTCAGGGTTCGGTCGATATGAACTGTGGCTTGGTAGACGTGATGTAAAATGTGCTGCATAGCAAAAGATTGAGGATTGCTTTTTAGGTACTCCTGGTACATTCAGCTCAGACATGCAACTCGTTCCTTGCCACATGGATACCCTGAATGTATTGAAAAAAGTAGCCATGTTCCCTTCAATTTTTATTAGAATCCAGGCCAGATACCACTTTGTGGTATTTCTGACATAATACTGCCACATTGTGCACTAGGAACCCATCAATTTCCATGAGTACACATAGGAATTATATACATTCTTCATCAAATAAGCATCAGAGTTAATCTCGCTCCTAAAATGTAACTTTCTCGTGCCAAGGAGTCAAGAGGGACAATGTACAGTAGTAAATTTTTGCAATGGCTTAGAATGCAAAATTGCCTTCTGTAAACTTTTGATTGCCTTTTTAAATGCGATCAGGGTTTAGCAGTGCATCTAGACCAGGTTATATATTGGATGATGATTTGCTCATTTGATAAAAGAAGATATAACAATGAATCTCTCTCTTGCTCAGCTAGTACAACCCACTGTTACAGGTTCATACTCACAAACAAGATAGTGTCTCTTGGAAACCTGTGATGCCAAGAGCAGCAGCTGCACACAAGACAGGGCTCAGGAGTTTAACCTGCAGTTCACACAGCCCTTGAAGGACCCCTCACCTGCGAGTGTGAATTGCAGTACGAGCCACAATTCACTAGCAAGTGTTATGACTAATGTTGCATTTATTTAGTATAGGTCCATGTGTAACAGTGGCCATATTCCAGTGGCCAACAGTAAATTAAAGTGGAAAAAAATGATCGTAAGTCCAGAACTCAAGTGGTAAAGTACATCTTCTCCATGCTCTGTTTGGCCACCAGAGAGCAAGGGCAGGTTAGCTATCAAGCATGAAGTCATATTTGTACATCTTCCCATAAATATCTTTACATAAATATGTATTATTGACTATAATAGCAGGTAAACAATAATATAAAAACAATTACAAGAAGAGCCACAGGAGTCCTCTAGCCAAGTGGATTAAGCAACCGTGTCTGCACTGCTGCAGCTTGGACATCATAAAATATAACAAATTGTGTCCAGAAGTCTGTGAGCATTGTGTGCTACCAAAGATGAAAACTCTGTTTCATCTGTTTCCAGCCCTGTGAGTTTTTTACAGGCTTTTTTTAAAGATGTGTTCCCTTCTTGTAGCAAAGATTTAGGTTGCACTTGGTAGGGACAGACATCTTCAAGCTTGCTTTTTAAAAGTAACAGATCCATAATTCTGTTGTAAAATACTCTGTAGTTAAATGTTAACTGGTAAGGAAGTCTTCAACATGGGCTAGTGGCTCACTTAGCCAACTTGTGACTCGCTCCTCTGTGATGATTTTCCTTATGGCTTTGGGCAATGTAGCCTAATGATGGACACGCTGGAACATGCCATGGAGGGAATGGTATGGTGTTCTATGGGGAACCCCTAGAAGGCAAGAAAGAACAACATTACATCTTCAAACCTGAAAGTACTGGTTAACATACGTGATGAACTTGGATGGGCAGTAGCCAGCTCGAGGACAGATAAGATAAAAGTGAATGCTAGTTGTGTTCAGCAAGAACCGAGGTACAGAAGTTAGGCGTGGCAAAGTGCTGCCCCTTGCTGGCCAAAGAACTGTACAGCTCAACAGCAGTGTCAAAAATACACCCACAGGCTAGATCAGATCTGCCCAGAGCACAACGCAAGACTGACCTGTGTGCCGTATCAGGCCTATGGATAACCTTCTCCCTCCCCCAGCATACCTGATCCAGCAGTGGCTCCAGCTGATCTGGGACTCATGCCATATGCAATGGGGGTCCCATACTGGGTGTATGTCCCAGAGCAGATGCCACATGTAGCACACTGGCCCCAGTTGGACTGTGCCTCATCTGGGTGCCCTTTGTACTGCTCTGGGAGCCATGATGCACACACTGCAGGTCCCAGATTCACTGGAACACCTGCTGGATGCTGGGGAGAGGAAGGGGGGTCCCTTGGCCTCCTCCAGTTTGCACACTGGTCCCACTCCACTCATCCAGCCCATGCAGCCAGATGCAGTTGATACTCTTGCCTTAAAGCGAAGTCCAGAAAAGAAAAAAAAATTAAGGTGCCGCCTAAGCCAATGCCCAGGGATGGGATAGGGGGCTCTACTACACACGAGCATTGGGATTACATCCTGTTAATTTCTGAATAGTTCAAGTGGCATGTGCATGTGTACGAGGGCTGATTCTTTCAAACTTCTCAGGTTCCATGGGGGAAGAATGGTTCATAAAGTGACTTAATTTCAGTGTCAAGGCCCCTGTGGGAAGGAATACAGCAGCATTAGGACATGCATCGTCACAGTCTCTGGTAAGAGCACTGGGGCTGGTGTCCGTGCCACGGAGACAGGTTCTGTACTCTCTTCACTGCCTGAGGGTGCATCAGGCCTGGGAAACCTCCAAGACCCTCTGTACAGGGGAGCTGTTGAGTCCTTTCCCTGTCCCACATCACAAGGAAGCCCTGCATTCTCTGTTTCAAGAAGAGTGGCAGTGCTGGGCACCGAACCCCTGCCCCCTCCATTCAGCAATAACTGATTCCTGATAGCATGGAAACGAAGCAACCAAACCCCTAAGTCACGAGGGAAGCAGGGCAAAGTTTGGCCCTTCTGTTCTCCATGTCCATCTGACACCTGGTGCAGTGAAGAGATGAAACTTCAAGGTGTTCGGAAGAGAAGCTTCAGGCAACAGATTCTGCTTCTGGTCTAGGGGTTGTTTTGCTTGTTCCTTTATACTGGAGTCATGGGTTCAAAGTTTGCCTTTGTCACTCCCCGTGGCTGTTCTTAGCCAAGACCATTTTAATGTGGAAGCATTTGGAAGCTTGTTCCTCTCTAAGGTGCTATATGCCCTGCCTTCTGCATGAAGAAGATGGGGCACCTGCCCTGAAGGCAGGGCAAGCTCCCAGCTGAGGTACGTCTTCAATGGACACAGTCAAAGTGCTCCTCCAACCCCGGGATCTCTCCCGCAGCAGAGTGAAACCCCAGCCCCTAGCTGTTGGGCTGCTGCCTTCCCTTCCTCTTGAAATTGGCCATTGTGTAATGGGGCAGAAAGATTCAAGGATCAGAAAAGAGCAGAACTGCTGGTAGTCTGCTGACCTGGGGCTTGGCTTGGGTCTGGGGGGTTGTTTGAATTCCCCCACCCTTGGCTAGTGTTGTCAATGGCTGGCTACAGAATAGCTTACTGCCTCTGATACGGGCACAGTAGATTCTCCGCACCTCCTCCTGCAGCTTTGCTACTGTGGAAGCATCAAGAGGCACCGAGAAAAGGCAGCTGTGAGCAGGCTCACTTAGTTGCCTAGAGTTGGCTGACTTGGTTGGCTTTGGTCTCTGCTCTTCAGGTTGGCATTGTGCATTAGAATCTGGTTGTGGCTGCGCCTTTGGTATCTGCCCTAAAAGTTGGGTTGGTGGCTTCTGAGCTGGGTGTGTGGGCTGTTACACTTTCATTAAAGCAATGAGCATAAAGCATAAAAGGCCTTGTCTACTGCCTAGATCTCTGCAATGAGTTGGGGCTTAAATTCCACTCAGACTCCATGGGCCTGGAGGACCCAGGTGCCTCAGTTGTGATAAGAAGTGGATTAGCATTAGTTTAAAGCTCCAGGGAAGAAACATTACTGACCTGACTCCGCGTCTGAGCGCTGAGCAGCTGGAAGACGAGGGGGGCCACCTGAAAAAAAACCCACGAGGAGGACACACTTTATTCTACAGCAGTATCATGCTGTTAGTTTTGTGCTGACTTTGTCCCCTGAGGCTGAGTCAGACTTGGGAGAAACTTAATACAGAGGCTTGTTTTCACTAATAGCCACTGGCCCTTTAGACACACTAACCCTTTCTGCAGTGAAATGCCCCACCATTAGGCACAGTGAGGGTGGTAACAGCTTGGGAGACCTCAGGGACTGCCTATGCTAGCCTGTGTCTCTACATTAGTAGATTTGGTAAACGGTGTCAGTTCTGCAAATGCCAAGAGAGAGATGCTGAGTCCAGCACCCAGACAATATGACTGAGGCAGTGTGTCTGTGTAGCCATTTACTGCTGTACATCAAGAGCACTACCCCCCACCAGTCCCATCTTAGCCCCATCTGTTTTTTCAGCAGTCAGTTACCTTCTCGGCAGGTGGGGCCTATGTACCCATTCATACAAAGGCATTGGCCATTCTGGGCTCTGCAGTGAGAGTTGAATGTGGCACAGTCACAGGTCATGGTGCAGTCTGGGCCATACTTATTTGTGCGACAGTCTAGGGCAGCAAAAAAGGCTGTTAAGAGTCTTTGCAGGAGCTCAGATTGTTTCAGCGCATTCATGGGGCTTTACGCATTGCTACTGGACAGGCAGGACATGAACATGAAAAGAGACCCTGCAAGCTTGACACCCTTTTTAAAAAAAATCTCTCAGTACAAGGACCACAGCAGCTGCTCCCAATCTGAACACCAATGTACAGAGCTTGCCCCAGAGGCTATGAGAGCACTTCAGCACCCATCCTTCCCCCTCCCATGCCTGTCTTGGATGTGGCTCCCTGACTCCAAGTGCCAACTAGCAGAGGGAGACGTGTTTTCTGACAGCAGACAGCATGGGAGTTTAGCACTAAGCAGTGCTGCACCACACGAGAGCACCTGCACCCCCACAACTGTCATTGTAATGCTGACCCTGCAAGCCCAAGCCATGGGGAATGACCACCCCAACCCCATCCAGGTTGTCACTCACCCAAGTCACATTTGGGCCCAGTTTTTCCAGGAGGACACAGACAGCGCCCAGTGGCTGGATCGCATGGCACATTGCCTTCACAGTCGCATGTTCTCTGGCATCCCTCCCCATATTTCCCTGCCTCACAACCTGCAGTCATAAAAGAAGCAGGTCAAGAGCAGCAGAGAGTTGTGCCAAGGATGCCAAGCCCTGTGCTTCCTGCTAGTGACCATGTCAACAGAAAGGTGGGATGCTGTCAGACATGCTGCTGGGACAGCTAGGGCTATTCAGAGCTCAGCTCCCCTTGGATGAAATCCATAGCAAATACAGAGCAGGACTCAGCTGCCAACAGGTGCAGGAAAAGTTGGCCTCAAGTGGTGGAAGGGTTGGCTGGCGGGGAGGGGAAACAGGACTGACCCTCTGTGCTCCCTTTGGAGATGATGGCTGTGAGGTGCAGTTTGTGATTCAGAATAGCACAAGGAGGGGAAACACAGAACTAACTGCTTGATTCAGGTCTATTATTTTTGGTGCCACTTGTCTAAAATTCAGCTGGCGCCAAAGAGCTGAAAACAGCTCTTGAATTGCTCTGAAGGCCAGCTGGCAAGTGAGGCAGGTAACTAGCCCTCAGGATTCAGGGTGCCAGTGCTTGTGACACCCTTTCCTGGGCCACAGTTGCCTGGCAGCTGTCGGCTACTTGAATACTGGGCAGCCCAGTGGATTGGCAGCTGGTAAGAGCTGAGCAGATGCACAGCTTAGTCACAGAGCACCATGAAACAACTCAATGTGCCTACTTTTCAGACTGGTTCTCAGAGCAGTGTGATTTGACAGCACAGCACAGCGTTCTCACAAGCGCAGCCATGCACAGAGAGACCGGCAGGCGCTGGAAGCACGTCCCCTGGCCAGCGCTACGGATGTCATACATTGATGTTAACATGAGTGAGAGCAGGGCATGTGCCATACCTGTTTGGCAGTGGGCACCATAGAAGCCAGCAGGACACAGGCACCGCCCAGTCACTGGATCACACGTGGCTCCATTGTGACAGTCACACAGCTCCTGGCAGCTGAGACCATGGAAACCTGGTGGGCAACCTGGGGAAGAAGAAACCCATGGGAAAGCTGATTAGGAGCCACAGCAGGCAATAGGGCAGTTGCACCCAGAGAAGGCCCCTTCCATTAACCCTCCTGTCAGCTGTGGGAAAGAAGAAAAGGCATTGGACCTGGGCAGTTAGAAGTCCAGCACTGGGCTGCAAGGTGGGCTTGAGACCTTGTCTTTTTATATTTATTGCACCAAAGGTTATAGTGCTCAAGCTTTTACTCTGCCTTAGCTCTGGCCTTGTCGTCCCTTCCTCCACCCCCCCAACAATCCCTTCAAAGACATTTGTGCATGCATGCATGCACACATATATGCACATGCGTGCGCACACGCGCACACACACACACACACACACACAGTGGGGGGGGCGAACATGAAAGAGAGGGAGAGTGAGTGTGTGTGTGTGTGTGTGTGTGTGTGTGTGTGTGTGTGTGTGTGGGTGGGTATAGGGTGTAGGGAGCAGTGTGGGCTAGGCTGCAGACGCTATATGTGCATGGCGTGGCGGGCATGGCCTACAGTGTGGGTGACACAGCTGTATGCATTGGGCGTTTTGGTGGTGGGGGGGGGGGGGGGGGGTACGTATGCCGAAGTGGGAGGAGTGTTGGGGTGCTGTCAGGGCAGACACTGGCCAGCGGATCAGGCACACAAACACTGTGTATGTGAGGGGTTGGGTCTAGGGGGCACTGTGCATGTATTTTACTAGTAGACACTCTGTATTTGTCTAGGGTGTGGACACCAGGGGGGGATGTGTGTACATGTGTGCATGCATCCATGCCTGTCAGACCTTGCTTGCATTTAACTGTGCACCCATGCTCTTTTGGCATGGGGATGGAGAGGTGGTCAGCTCAGACAGGTGATATGCAGGGGGACAAAGACAGTGCTGTCTGAACCCCTGCTTCCGTGTGCCCAGAGGTTGGGAGTTCAGGGGTGGCGCAGGAATG